CTCCATCTATCAAGAAAGCTACATCCCTTTCAAGGCAAAGGATAATCGATGCCCGTGCTTCTAGATCCATCTCCTCCCAATCATCATCAGACATACACTTATGCTTCTTCTCTTTTCCAGCCAAAGCCTTGTGCAATTTCTGCGAATTAGCAAATTTTTCATCTGCATCCTCCAATAGAAAAAATCATTCTTCCCATTAAATTTCTCGATCTCATACTTTCCAACTTTAACTGTTTTACTAGTAGACGTCATTCTCCGCTTGTTTAGTAATACCGTCTCTCTCAGAAAATTTAACAAATATCTTGTGTGCACCACATAATAACCAAACACCACCTCAAATCGGAAATTCTACCACCACCAATCTGATAAGGGGCTTTGATACCAATTGTTAGGTGCGAGTGACGTCCACACCACTGCAGAAGCAAATTAATCCCGAGAGAAAACAACCTAGCTTGAGTTTACACCAAACTCAAACCAACCAATAAAGGCAATAATGAATACACAGATAAAACAAAAAGTAGATAAGACGAGATAACAAATTTACGTGGTTCAGCAAACTTGCCTACGTCCACAGGAGCCACACAAATAATTTCTTATTTAACCATAAAAAATTACAAAGCTTGTAAAAGATAAGATCTCAAACTTGAGATCTCTCATAGTAACAACTCATCACTATAATAAATACTACAATACCCTTGTGCAATTTTTCTGCGAAAAAATCACTTCTCAATAAACCTTGAGAAGAGCCACCGCCACCACAGAAGAAAACCCTCTTCTGTTAAATCGCCAAGATGAGCTCACAGCTATCGTGAACATGGTTTCCCTTTTATAGGGAAACCCTAGGGCTCGTTCTGCCAGCGAGCTCTAGCTGGCTTCCACTAGATCATGCGAGATCTATCCATGCTCCTCCAGGCGAGCTACTCCTTCGACAAGCGAGCTCATGGGCGGCAGGCGAGCTCGAAGTCCACCATCTCGCCCGCAGCGAGCTCCGCGCCCAGTTCCCCTCAATCTTCAGGTGAGCTCCACGCCCTCCTTCAGGCAAGCTCCCTCGCCCCCTTGATTGCCACACTAGCGTTTCAGGCGAGGTCCTCGAATGCATTAGGCGAGCTTCTTCGCCTCTGTTAGGCGAGCTCGACCTCGCCTTCGTCAGGCGAGTTTCTTCGCGTCGCCTCTCCACACACAGGTGAGCTCGTTCTTCTTCATACTTGATTATCGTCAAACGCAAAAAAGTGGATACAGTGTACGCCAAAAAAAGTGGATAAAAAATTTTTTTTCTTATTTCTGATTAAAAGGCAAATAAACGTCAAGAGCTCATTTGGACTGAGGGTAACGAGGTGTAGGAAAAGTTATTAGACTTTTTCTTCTTGCTTGGGAATTAATAACTTGTGCCTGTTGGAAAAAAGATAATGTAAAATATATATCTGTTCCATGAATATATGACTTGATGAGTTAGCATCTTAACCAGCCCGATAAGCCGACACCCTAGTGTCGACATGAGAAGCGGTGACAATCGACATAAAAGATCCTGACCTCCCAAACGAGTCAACATCTTTATATCGACTCGAGAGACAGTTATTAGCTGAGACGAGATGACATTCCAACCAGTCGGTCGTGCCGACACTCCTGAGTCGATGCGAAAGATGGTGTCGGTCGACACGAAAGTCAGCAACTCGAAGATATGACCCTATGAGCTTTGCTTCTCGACGAAGCTAAAGGATTGCCCTTATCTCAAATCTGTCAGCATATGTGTCACTTCTCAACATTGTTTAATCTTTGATGATCATCATTAAGTGTCACTCCTCAACAGTCTTGAAGACTTGTTGGCTGTTGGCTCCCAATGCTGCCGAAGTGATCTCCCGCCACTCACAAATCAACACGTGTGGATCAAATGATGACTTATTTTCTAACTCACTCCTCATCACCGCCTCACTACCGTCTTATTGTAGACTCATGGAGTGACCAACATTCCCTTGACATCCCCTATAAATATAGATGCTATTCGCTATAGCCAAAGGTTCGCAATCTAAAACCCCCAAGAGCATACACTACACAAAAAACAAGAACACATAGTTCTGTTATTCCACTGAAGCTCAAGTTCATTAACGACTTGATCGTCGGAGGTGCCACGGGGGAATTTATCTCCGCCCTCTTACGACTCTTTGTGTGCAGATTGCTCAATCATCTTAACCCCAGAATCAGGCATAAAGTCGAAGAAGAAAGCGGCCCCTTGCAAACTCCGTGACTTTATTTAGCTGTGTGATATTTAACATCAACAAAGAGACCATTTATCTTGTATTTAATAAAATGACTCACTAATATGTAAAGTTATTTATATAACTTTACATACATTTCCTTCCCTTGCTTTCATTTTATTAAACTTTTCCGACGGGGTTAAATTTGTTACACTTACTAATTTCCCAAATAAATTTTACATGTTACGTTACCTTCCCTCAACTTAACTTATACTATGTTCCCCTAACTAGGCCTAAGCATACGGTCAGTAGGTCGGATTTCAACCAAAAATTGTCAACCGAACCACACTGACATCATGCTAGGAACCGAACTGCATCGAAGTAAAAAAACAAGGAAATATGATACTCTTTTGAGTTTGATAAATTTTTCCTACAAATTTTATAGAAATACAAGGAAATCAAATTTTGAATACTTCTCTTTTTCCTCTCTTTTATAATACAAATTGAACAAAACAGCCCCTTAACTTCCATTCGCTGGGTACAAATCCAAACAAGCTCCAAAATCACGAAATTAAGTGATTTGAATTTTTTCCCCTTTCTTTTATTGTTTGTTCGACGCCCACTTTAAAAGGTACACTCTTTGAAATACTGGGGGCAATATGGCCACATGGTTTTCTTTTGGGCCCCGAGCTAAGTCTAGCACTTTTCGGTGGCATGAAAAGCCCAACATGAAAATACGAAGGAAGTTAGTACGCTAGAAATTGCCGTGTTTGTAATACAAAGTTTGATTTCATTTTGAGTAATAAATAAAAGGTTTGATTTCAGAATTAGAGTGGTTTCCATCAAATTGTTCTGTATTTAATTTGACCGTTACTTTCATAATAGGTATCAATTTGTGTGCGGTTCAAAATAATTTTCTCTAGGGAATATGTTTTTGTTGTTTGCTTAAATGATGATTATGATTAAGATTAAATAATATGATTAGTTATAACGCAGTGTTAGTTAATAAAAATATTTGTTTAAAATATTTTATTAGCAAATGTTTTTTTTGCTACAATAACATTATTTTTTAACAATATGAACTTATTTAAATGAGTTTTTTTTCCGAAACTCATTTTATAGTAAGAATAATTAAAAAAGGAATTACCATGTTCAGTTTACTTAAAAAACAAATGATCCTTCATAGAAAATCATAATAAAAAAATTTATATTTGTCCTAAACATATTTTAAGTTAATGTTTTGTATTGTATGCACCAACTATAATATTTAGTTTTTGTGTTTTCTGATCGCACAAATATTTTATATAATTATATAGATTTAAAATTGATAGTGAGACATATATCAAGTTCTACTCTCATCTTAGTAAGATTTTCTTTGGGTGTTTATATTTTTTCTCATTAGTGTTAACATAACATAAAGCAGATTATTAAAAAAATTCTTAAAAGGTTTATAATATTTTTTGGGGTTTTCCCCCACAAAAAAATACCTCTAAAATAGGGTGAGAATACAAAAGAAAAAAAAACTTTAAAGTTTAATTATTATAGAAACTATCTTTAAAGCATTTTTTATTGCAATAAAGCACCGTGACCTATTTTTTAAATGAAATTATAATCGAGATCCCTGAAGTACCCTTAAAAATTGCGCATGAAATGTCTTATTAACCCAACTTGACATATATTTTTGATGTGTTTCCAAAGGTATTGTGAAGATTTCATCAAAATTTGACCAGAAAATATGTCGAGGTAGCTATTACAGTCAGAACACCCCTTGGAAGACCAGTTTTTGTATCATTTGAACTCTAAATGTGACTTTTGTATTTTCAAGCTATTGTAAAGGTTTTTTTTAATTTCAAAAACCCAATATTTTATGTTCTCATGGGGGCTTTCAATATTTTATGTTATTTTAATAAATAGTTTTTATAATTAGCGCCTGTTTGTTTGCCTAAAAAAATTGAAAATCAAATAAATGGAAAACTATTAAATTAAAGAATTATTTTGGGAGTGTTTGGTTTGTTAAAAAAAGAAGGAAATCAAAGAAATGAAGATGAGTTGTCACCTTATTATAGGATGATGCGAGTGATTTTTTAAGAAAACTTGTTTTGATGTTGTTTGGTTGGCGAAAAAATAATGAAATAAATTATAAGATTTTTTAAGAAAACTTGTTTTGATGTTGTTTGGTTGGCGAAAAAATAATGAAATAAATTATAAGAAACTTATTTCTTGTAATAGGTTGTTTTCTTTTGCTTGGTTATTTCTTAAAAATAACAAAATATATGAGATGATATGAGTTGTCATTATGTTATTGGATGATGTGACCCACACTTAAGGAAATTGTTTTCCTAGCTTTTTGGGAGGAAAACAAAAAAATGAAAACAAAAAAATAAAATGTTAATGAGATGAGATGAGTTGTCACAATCTTATTGGATGATGTGAGTAATTTTTAAATAGATGAGATGAGTTGTCACAATCTTATTGGATGATGTGAGTAATTTTTAAATATGAGATGAGATGAGTTGAATGATGTTGTGGATGAAAATAATATTTTATTAAATGTGGTGGATGTGATAGATGAGTTGTTGGATGAAAATAATATTTTATTAGATGTGATGGACAAATTATTGGATAAAAATAATATTTTATTAGATATTGTGGGTGAGTTTTAGGGATGGAAATGTGTGAAATTGTACTTTTTGAGTTTTATTGGTTTCCATTTCTATTTTTTGGTTTTTTAGGAAATAACCAAACAGCCCCTTAAACCTAATCTCCATTTTTTTGTTAATTAAAAACATAACCATTTTAGAACATATTACCATGCTTAACATTCACATTACGGGGGAAAAAAAGGCCTTACATTCATTCCAGTTTTGGGTTCGCTGATCTCCTTTCTGCAACTCAAATCAAACTCTATAATGGCTGATTAGGGCGCGACTTTTCAATGTCCATGTCAAACTGCGAATTTTTGGGAGAGGTATTGCTCTTTTATCGAATTGAGCACTGTTTTTGTTCGACTTTTGGGGATCTGACCTGGGATTTTTGTAATTTTCTTGAGATTTTCATACGATTTGTTATTTTTATCTGTGCTTTTCTAGATCTAGGTTTTTTTTTCAGTGGATCTAATCACAAAGCAATGGTACTGGCATCCTGTTTTTTGCCTTTTTTTGGCGATCTCAGGAATTAAATTATATCTGAAGTTTATCATTTTAATCAAGTATTGCATTGGTTATATTTAGGACAAATTTTCAAAACCAACCTATTTGGATTTTTATTCCCAAAAAACGACCCCATTCAGTTTTATTTGCAAAAACCGACCTGGTTTCAGCCTCAGCGCTGAAACCAGGTCGGTTTTTGAAAAAAACTCTCCGAAACTTCACGGGAGTTGAACTCCCGTGAAGTTTTTTGAACTATGAAACTTCACGGGAGTTCAACTCCCGTGAAGTTTCGGAGAGTTTTTTTCAAAAACCGACCTGGTTTCAGCGCTGAGGCTGAAACCAGGTCGGTTTTTGCAATTATTTTTGAATGGGGTCGTTTTTGGGGAATAAAAGTCCAAATAGGTTGGTTTTGAAAATTTGTCCGTTATATTTATAATAAGTCAGCTATTTGATTCTAAGTCAACTATTTGATTCTCTCTTGATGAAGTTACTATGCAAGCAAACTCGGATTTGACGCTGTAAGAATGGTTAATCTTTGTGGGCGATCGCAGAATTTAGAAAAATGCATCACTAAATAATAACAAAATTTTATAGCACATTCTGTATTATCTCTCAGAATAAATTATTCTCGCATGGTGAGATTACTGGCTAAGTAGTTGTATTATCTTTGTTTGAGGAAGGACTGAGTGTAGCCTGTTATCTTGGTGATTTTTTGTATAAAGAAATGGTGGGAGATTGCCCCGTGTTTCATTTAAAAGATTTTAATTAAATGAGAAGCGCCTCCTCGTGTACACTTGAACCCTAGGAGCCAATATATACATCGAAGCGCAAGATGGGGTGAAATGCCAGACACCTGAGTGCTTAATCCTCATCTTTGTAGCCGTTGCCTTGCTTTAACTTATGTGTCTTAATTCATCCCTTATGTATTCTGCTGATGGATGTATCGATGAGTTTGATCAATATAGGCACAGTTGTCTTTGAAGATTCTTCTATTTCTCTCTCTAATAACCCAACAAACTGCTGTGGCATGCATATCCTATATCAGATGTAGTTTTCTAGTAAAAATTCTGTGAGAGTAGATATATTAAATACCCAAAGAGGAAGGACAAGGTCGAGAACCTTCTAGAGTGTACTCATGTAATTTGCTGGAATAGAGTCAGCGAGCAAACAAATGACACTCAACTCTTCGTACTATCAGCATACACAACTACAATTTAGCCCTTTCCATTCCCTTTTGGCTAGGTTTGCCTATGTGAGGATTGATTTTCTGTTGGCTAACCAAAGAAAGTGTTTGACCTTAAGATTTTCTTAGAATGACAGATCTATTTGCTATCCTGCAATGTCGACCTCTCGAGTTAAAAACCACTTCATGGATCTAACTGAAAATGTGCTTATAGTTCCCACTGTCATCTTTAACTATCTAGTGTAATCATCGCAGTTTCCCACTCTTGTAAGAAATTCAGAGACTGTTCCTTTCTGCGTCTTAAAGAGTGATATACATCTTGGAAAGTGTATTCTCCTCCTTTTTCTTCTGCATTTGGAGAGAACCCAAAAGTTATTACAACTAGCTAGAAGAGCCTTTCTAAATCTATTTTACCACAAATTGATTACCCTTCTAAGTTTATGCGCTTTCTGTTTGCTATGCCAATAGTTGCACTAGGGAGGTAAGCTCCCTTGATCTTAGGTACTCTCTCCAGAAACAATAGAGAAAGTTTCTAGGTTTTCCATTCCAAGATCCATTACCAGAGGCATAGTTATACCCCTCCCCCCCCCACCTGGCGTCCGCTTTACGAAAAACTTGAAAAACTTGGCTCTTGATGATTAGGTGATAACATCTGTTTTAGTGAACACCTCTCTGAAAAAAATTCCTTCTGAGTTTACAAATCCTTTCTTTAACCATTACTGGATTCTTGGATCGAAGCTTAACAATTTGCCAGCAAACATAATTAACTTCTAGTTTTTATAATAGTGGCATCACAAGGTTTCATGATTGAACTTGGGAATCAATCATTTATTGAGCAGTCCATATTCAGCGTTGCTTGCCCTTGTTGGATCTTTAAGCCCCCCCCCCCCCCAACAAAAAAAAAGAAAGACTTTATTATATATGAGCGTGTATTAATAATTTGTAGGCCACTAAACTTAGGGTATGTGAGGGTTATTTGTTCATAGCCTTCGAATTACCGTAGGACCCAATAATGGAAGTGGCCCGTGTGAGAACCCAGAACCGTCACATATCCTAGTTGAAATAAGATATGATCCTATAAGAATTGTAGTGGGTACAGGGCCTTCTAGACACGAGTTTATATTGGAGAGATCTCTTTGTAAAAGGAATCCTTGTATAATGTATAACACTCAAGGCAAACAAATAGTCAACTAATGGAACAAATGCCTAACACAATGGTGTGTATATTTGTGACTGTGTTTTGGCTGACAATAAAGAGAGAAAAAAGATAAAAATTAAGGGTTTCTTCTTGTTTTTTGGGTGAGAGAATAGCTTAGTGAATTAGGGCCTCAATTTCTTAAAACCTGATGTTTAAATACTACCTTTCAAGTTGTTATATTATTATTGTTGGGATATTTTAACTGAGTTTTCTTTTAGCTTTTAAAAATAATAGTAGAGGCAATGTATCATCAAATTTGTTTAAGTTATTAACTTTTAAATTAGTTTATTCGTAACTAATTAGCTTATTAATTGGGTTTAATTAACTTATTGGGTGGAAAATGTGTTATATGGATTCTCTGTATCATTAAATTTACGGAGGATAATCCTCTTGAACAATAAAACAAAAATAATGGTTTAATTGATCAGAAGCTTGAGTTTATTTACTCATTTCTAACGCTGAGCACCCCCAGCTGAACATTCCTAGACTCGTCCCTGTATGGGAGACACTGCAAACTTAGCTACCAAGTGTTAATGTCTACTACAAGTTGATGTCTATATGGATTAGTTTGAAGCTTCAAATTTACAGATTTTTTTTTATTTTCGAAAATCTTGCACAAGGATTAAGATTAACTAACAAAGCCAAGCATTTCTCTCAATTTTAGTATAACTACTGAATATACCTTCTGGACTGCTCAAACTGGCAAACATGTTTCATATGGGGTTAGTTTTTGGTAAAGAGGAAAATGTGCAGACGGCTGAGATATGCAAAGTTGCAAACTCTACTGGAAATTTTGGGCTATATGATATCTGTGGGTTTTTTGGGGGTTATGATAGGTTTTGATTAATTAATTGGTATTTGGCTAAATATAAATTGCTATGTACAAAGATTAATTCTTTGAAGGTAACATTTAAAATAAAGGATATAAATAAGGTCATTCTTATTAAAATCATCTGCAGGTATAGTCCAATCATAAGCATACTATAATGCTGGGGTTTTAACAACTTGCTCCTACAAACGTATGGGAAGCCTATAGTCTGAATGGAGTCACATCAAGTTGATTCATCATCTTCACCAATTGTTGCTGCTCCAGACATTCAGCATTCTGCTACTCAACATGATATTCCTACTGGAGGGAAATCATCAATATTATCTGCTTCTGGTATATCCTCATGGGCCAGGAGCTTAAAAAAGCTACAACAGTCGGGGCAGGGAGATCCACAGTCTGGAAATGCAGTAATGTCAACTTTTACACGTTTTACTGGTGGACTTGGATCACGCTTGTCTAACAAAAGTTCCGCACAAGATGAAAATGCTGATAACCCAACAAATGCACAGTCTGGCAGTGTGGTATCCTTAACAAAAGGCTTAGTGGACTCATCTCTTAATGCAGTGAAAGCTGTCCAGGTCAAGGCTCGCCATGTTGTATCTCAAAACAAAAGAAGGTACCAGGTAAACTTGCTGGAAGTTGAAACTAGTGTATTGTGATGTATTGTTTTCGTTTATAATTAACCTTGAGATGATTGGGTGTTTCATAGTCATCAATGTATTCCATTTCTACTGTCTGTCACCTTTTATATATTCCATTGTAGATTCTGTTTGATATCCGTCACTTTTAATGACGAAAATCAATTTATTAAGGAGAAAGCTGATAAAATTTCAAATTATGAAAACATTTGATAGATATTATAGTAAAATGCACTCACATTTTCTGCATAATTTAGGAACCATATTTTTTCTTAATTTCTGGAGTACCACACAAGTTTATGTTCTTTTTTAATTATAAATTTTCTTATATTCCTTATTTATCTCAGTGTTAGAAAGTTTAGAACTTTATCAGTATCTATCACCCTACACGCGAGTAGCTGTCTATTCCACATTTGTTATGTACCCATGCACCTTCTCATTTCCATGTTATCTTGACCAACATAACAGTTGAGTCTCCTCCTAGAACTAGTATTCTTCTTCCTGGAATTTTCTAATATATCCATATGCACCCAAAAAAAGCCCCTCTTAATTTTTTCACGTAACCTAGTTGCGGTGCATATGTTTTTACTATTTTTCTATTTCCAAAAATTTTGTTTAAGAGTATTTATTACCAACTTTTGTACTTTTTCCTTTTATTTAACAAGTTTATGATGTGCATTTCATTTAGTTTCTTGGAAACTAATTATGCTAAAATTTCTTTTAATCATTTACGTTGACCAGTCTATCCAATTTCTTTGAAGTGACCCTCATTTGAGTAGCTAATCTTCTAGCCATTGTGTGTCTCAATGTATTTAATTCTACTCTCGTGGATTAACTTCTTACCTGTTCTGCAATAGCCCCATAACACATCTATATTTGGCACTGCATCTTCCTTTGAAGCGCTAACCCCTCCTTGTGCAGTTATGATTGCTCTGGGAAGGCTTCAACATATTATGTGTCCTCCTTGCAAGGGCCTAACGTACCACCTTTGTTCACTTGATTGTGCATAAGGGTAGAATTTTTCTAATGTGTCTTGTTGGAGATGATCTAACTTGTATTATTTAGATTAATTTCACGGAGATTTAACCAAGTTTTATTCTGCTGGCTAGCTAACAGAATTCTCCTTTGTTCTGGCCTTGAACAAGCAATGAACAAACAAACATAACATTCTCATAGACAGTCATTTTATAGATTCGACATGATTTCACTTCAGTTATGTCAATCTTTTAACCCTTTGTGCTTTTGAGTTATTAGCTTTATGGTACTAAGTAATCATGTATATTATTTTAACCTTCAAGTTTGAGGCTTTTTGTGATATATCATGTATGCTTTATTCTTTTATAACCAACTCAACCTCCTTCTCCATGTGATTGTCATGTCTTTATCTCTTAATTATGCTAGATCCAGTTCACAGCTTATATCTGGGAGCTTCTTCTTGTTAGCTAAATGGTGACAGTTCATAAACAGCTGAAATCTAGCCAAACATTAAATGACTAGAGGTTGGTTTCTAATGTCCCTAAAGTGAAATGTCTGATGCTGCTCTGGTAAATAGTGGTCTTGCTCTAAAACTGACCATACCAGATGAATATAAACTGACCAACTGAAAGGGGAACTGAAAAGATATCAAAAGGGAAGCCACTCCTCACTGAGCGTCCTGTTTTAGCCTCCATTAAATCATCTCAAATATTACCGAACCTTAATAAAGAGTTAGTCATTTGAGACACGCTCTGAGTGCTTAATTTGGATGGCTAGCCAATTTCATTTATTATAAACATAACCACAACCATAATTTAGATTCGCTGATGAAGTTTTTTTTAATGGATGCTGCTGATCTTCAAGTATTCATTGTTAACATTCTGAAAACGTGACATGTGAAATATAAATGCAAGCTGTTTTGCAGAATTCTTCCTTATGGCTAAGACTTATATTTCGACATTCTTTTCCACAGGAAGATGGGTTTGATTTGGATATGACATATATCACAGATAATATAATTGCAATGGGTTTTCCCGGTGGTGATATGAGCTCTGGTTTTCTTGGATATGTAGAGGTAATTAAGCGAAAGTAATCAGCTTTGGAGTTAAATGAGAGGTTTCTGCAAAGATCTTTTCTAATTTAGTCCTACATTCTTATTCTCCAGGGATTTTATCGTAATCATATGGAAGAAGTGATTAAGTTTTTTGAAACACATCACAAGGTATCACAGCCAATTTCTTGGTTCTGTCATGTTTTATGTTTAATTTAGGGTTTTATTATGTTTTTATCGTATGAGATGCTACTGTAAGAAGTGCCTATGCTGAGATTACGTTTTGCCTGTATATACATGTAAGATTCAGATGAGAAACAATGCATGACTGGAGAGAGGGTGCATCAAGTTTTGGGGAATAGGACCAATTCTTAATTAAGGGCTTTCTTGTATGTGTTAACTTTTTCGCTGTTAGTAAAGTGAGTAAAGAGGAGGAATTTTGCATAGTAACCATCAGTACTGAACAGTACCTGATGGTTCTATACGCTCTGTTAAGATAGTTGGAAAAAGATGTCCTATAGCAGTTGTTTGCGTTTGCTATTCAAATTTAGCCAGTTCTTGTGTGAGTTGTGTCTATAATTAGTAAACTCTCTTGGTTAGTTAAGGTCTCCTATAATGAAAAACATGTACATAGCTTTCTTTCTTTAATCCATTCAGAACCGTAAGCAAACTAATTAGGTTTTCTTTGGTTATCATTAGAATTCTTGTTATCATGCACTCTTTAATAGATGTTCCTCATTATATCAGATTAAGTGAAAGGGTAGCTGATGTAGATATTGGCTTTTGGGGAGTAATCGCAGCTGTTTGTTAATTGTCCATTTCCTTGCTGCTACTAGTTGTAGGGTGATGCATATGTGTACTGTCTCCAAATAAGGTTCCTTTCTGTCATTCGCCAGTTTCTACTAATTACTTTTGGATAGTTTACGTTCTGAAAAATTATGTGGAATATTTCTTTTTCTTTCCCATAGATATGAACCAGTGCCATGGTTAGTCCGTTAGTCCAATCGGTAAACATGTGTCTATCCATTAAGTCTTTTTTATCTTTACTTTACTTTTTACTTCCTGCGCAAGGTTGCCCTTTTGAAGGCTATAGATCAACATATTTAGTGATCTCTTGCTAGTTCAATATGGACTATTTCTTGCAGAAAGTTCTGACTGAGTTAATGTTTCTGTAGGATAAATACAAAGTTTATAACCTTTGTTCTGAGAGGCTGTACAATGCATCGCTATTTCAGGGAAAGGTATGAATGCAATTAATTATTGAAAATCACCATTTATGCATTTGATGCAGTATAAGCAATGCTCAAACTGGGCAAACTGACAGCATCTACAGATGTACTGAATCGATTTATTTCGTCTCACGATATTTTTCTGTTAACAATTTTTCTCTTCTTAGGTTGCTTTTTTCCCCTTTGATGACCATAATTGTCCTCCTATCCACGTTATACTATCATTTTGCCAAAATGCTTCCTCATGGTTGAAGGAGGATGAAGGTAATGTGGTTGCTGTTCACTGCAAAGCTGGTCTGGGGAGGACTGGGTTGATGATTTGTAGCCTATTAGTATTTTTGAAGGTATCCTAGTGTTATTTGTTAGAATTTAGTGCTGAGCAGATAGACAGTGATCATTAATTTATTTCTCTACTGCCTGCTGCATGATGCAGTTACCCATATTTTCTTGCAGTTTTTTCTGAGTGCTGAAGAGGCTATAAATCACTTCAATGAGAAAAGATGCATAGACAGAAAGGGTATTGTCATCCCAAGTCAAATCGTCAGTATATTCATTCCTTATATATTATGAATCAAAAAACAAAGCATATTAAAAGCATGTCTGACTATTGGTTGACTTTTGTAGAGGTATGTTAAATACTTCGAGAGAATCTTAACATACTTCAATGGCGAAGTTCAACAAAGCCGCAGGTACTTAAGATGTTCTCTTCTTTGCTAACTCTCTTAGTCCATCAGCGCACTTGTATTTCAGAAACTCTTAGCTGTTCTATTAACAAATTAATATGGAATTGTTTCTTTAGGTGCACGCTCAAGGGATTCCGTCTTATTAACTGTCCTTATTGGATCAGACCATCGATCACTATTTCAGATCATACTGGTATGTACCTATTGACGTCTCATATATAATGCACATAGTTTGCAGTTTAGCTTAGCATATCTGGTCTTAGAAAGTCATCAGCATCATCTCATGATAGGTGCACGATTTCCAAACTCCATTAATCTTATTTTGTCTTGTTGTTGTAAATTAATAAAGCATTAAATGGTCCTTTTTTTTCAATTTATTGGGTCAATGTCATGGTTGATGTAAGTTGACTATGGTGTATATGAAATGAAGTTTTGTCTAGTGAAGTGCTCTTATGCTTTGCTAGAGCCTAGAGTTAGGATTATTGAAGTTTAGAAGTTCTCCATTTTACTTGATGTCTTTGCAAATGTTGTGTACGCGCGTGTTAGAGATTCTTTTCCTGTAGAGAATTGTACGATATGAATAGTTTCTTATTTACCATTTTGATGTCTTTGTAAGTGATGTATGTATATTAATATATTATAATAATGCTTTTCCTGTAGTGTTGTAACTGTATGTATGACATGAATGGTTTCCAGTTTACCAGTTTTAAAACAATAGAAGGATAGAATGATCTACGAATAGTTCGAAATAATTTCATGACACATTATGATCTCTATAGCTGGTGGCAGGGTGCATATACCAAAGAAATGTAGTTTGGGGTTTGTTTGATCCAAGCAATCACATATTAAGTACGGAAACTTAAGACATATGACATATGAAGATGCTGATAATGTTGAGACTACAGCTTTCACATTTTATCTAGCCTGCCTTGTGGATAGTTTGTGTTCTTTATGAGATAAAAGGCTGGGTAAAATACACTGGCATCTTGGAAGATAGCTTTTTGTTGAGCAAAGTCCTGAACATGGATCAGAACTCTGTAGGTAGTTTTTATGAAATCAGACCAGATTAGACTCTATGCTTACAAGATACATGCATTGGTTACTCTTATCATGGACCCGTATTCAGAATGGGTTGATGTATACACGCCAATTGAAAGAGTTAAATTCATATCACCAGATACTGGTGCAACTTAGAAGTTGGAACAAGAAATATTTATGTGATAATTTCTTCCTAACAACAATGATGTGAAAGATAGTTCTCGTGGGCGAAGTCTTATGACTTATGAGAGACCTGGCTGGGTTACTTTTATCATTTTTTTATTATTTAGAATAGATATATACAAATATCTAAGGAAAAGGATGCGGTTAGTGTTGTATCTCCAGATGCTGGTGAGATTTGGAAGAAGAAATAGCCATGAGATAATTCCTTATGTAAGTTAGCGTGGCAACTTAGAAAGTTATGTTTTTATGAGGTTTTTCTTGAGTTTTTCTTTACATCAATCAAGAGAATACCTCATAATTCCTTATGTAAGTTAATATGAGATATATATTAACAAGAGTGCTTTTAAGCCAAATTGCATAACTGCTTGTCCTTTCCAATGAATCTCATTGGACTCTGGATGCAAGGTCATTTTTCTTTGTCTTATATTGTATTTCGTTGTTCATTGTGATAGTTGGCATAATTTTTCTATGCCAGGAATCCTCTTCTCAACAAAAAGGCATCCAAAGACTAAGGACCTAATGGTAATTAAACTATCTTCTCTTCTTTCTTTTAAAAGTAATATAGTAGTGTTAATTGGACGCTAGTTCTTTTTTTTCTTTCTATTTTCCCTGAAGTATATATGACATTTTTGATGTTGCATATGGCTGAAAGGGGAGGTATAATTGTTGGATTGAATAAGTCTTGAAAAAAGGAAGTCTGGAAAGGGTCAAAAGAAAGTGGGACGTAAGTAATTGAGTTATTCTAGATGAAAGATCAAGGGTTATTTCTCATTCAGTTATAAAAATGTAGGAGACATTACAACTTATCCTATTATTTGCATGTAAGAAAAGTATGTGGCTATGTGCATTTGCATGAATATGCATTTGTTTATTTTCTATCTGGAAATAATGTATATGCATGTACCTTCCGTGTCACTCTTTTTAAAGACTTGTTGTGCTGTCATATCTGGTCCAATCATAAGAATGAAAACATTAGAGGGAGTGATGGATTGATGTCTATAGGCATCTTAATGTACATAATGTATATAAGAAAACAAATTGATCTTTCCTTGTCAGCATGGTGGAAGCAAATGCTTGATATATCTCTAATTTTCTAGTTTACATCAAGTGGCATTAAAAGCAGAAGTTTTGCAAGTGTGGATTTGCGTCTTAATGAAGATATACGTTTCTATGGAATATGGTGGACCTATTTTTCTCTTAAATAAAGGCATTCTACTTTTTCCTGAAGTAACATCAGTCATATGCTCCATCATGATTATTTTCTGACATCTTCTCAGCCTGAAGATTTCTGGTTCAGCTCAAAAAAGAAGGGCATCATGATCTTTGCTTTACCAGGTCACCCTGGATTGGCAGAGCTAGATGGTGATTTCAAAATCCATTTTAGTGATCGTCAAGGAGATTTCTTTTGGTGAGTGCTGCCCTGACTTTACTTTTTAGTTCCTGAGAAATGGAAATTTGTTATAACCTTTCCAGGACGAATTTGGGTGGTTGGGTACATCTATTATGATTCTGTCTAGTTAATGTTCATCTTAGATGCATTTTGACAAGGTATATTAGTAATCTAGTTACACTTGCCATTAAGCTCTGTCTTGTCTTGAATTGATGAACTCATTATCTCCTGTATTTTTTTTTCTCTCATTTTTTGACAGTTGGTTGAATACAACAATGATTGAAAACAGGACGACACTAAATGGCTCTGAGCTTGATGATTTTGACAAGGTATTGTTGCTTACAAGGATAACTAACAAGCTTTTTCTCCCCTTCCATTTTTATCGTCTTACAACATGAACATCAGCAAGGAGAAAGAAAGAAATAAAAATCTGTTTCTTTCATCTTATGCTACTGTAAGTCCAAATATCTCTTAACTTAAAGGAAAATACAAAACATGAAGTTTCTCCTGGAAAAGACTTCCTTTCTGTACTAGTTTCTGACCATGCGTGAAAACAACAAAGTCTTCTCTAGAGATATTAGTTCCACTATTTTCATGCAACTAAAGTAAGATAAGCTTATATGCTGCAGAGGAAAATACCTGCTCCTGGGTTCCAACTAGAGATTGTGATGGTAGATTCTGATGGTTACCATGCTAAAGGACCTGTAAGTGCCGATAAGGAATCTGATGAAAAACCTGTAATCAGCAAACCATCTCCTAACTCAACTCAAGATGCAGGAAGTCATGATAAGGATGATGTCTTCTCAGATAATGAATCAGAAGGCACTGAATCTTCAAAGAGCAAGCACGCTCAAACGGCGAGCAGCGCAAAAGTCTCTAGTATTGAGAAAGAATCTGAAATTAAAACTTTGAAGGAAGAAACAAAAGCTATCGGAGATGGTATTGGACGAGTTTCCTTGAGAAGTGAAGGGGTTACAAAGAATGCTGATGGTGATATCAAAAGTACCTTATTGATGGAAAGCTCTATTGTGAGTGAATTTAAGCCAGTTACTGCTGATGCTTCTGTCTTTTCTTTTGGTGATGATGATGACTATGAAAGTGAGTAAATTCAGCTGCATTGTGCTCATCACCATTGGTAAAACCTTTCAAAGCAACATGCGGCTCTGAAAAAAATATGCATATTACTGTTCTTCTGGCAAATCGTGGTAACTTTGCTCTATGTTGGTGCAAATCATTTAATTTTTCTCACGTTTCAATTTCTTTTTTCCTGAGTGAAAACAGTGAAGTGTTGATGACTCTTTTCACGTGATGTTTTTTGTATCACTTCATCCACATTTCTTAGGGAGTCCTGCTACTTGATTGTTTACATATTATAATTACAAGATGATGATCATCAAACGCAGACTGTGTGCCTTGTAACATTGGTTTGAGAGTGCATATTTGTTTCTCTTGCATTCTATATATGCACGATGTTTATTTTGCATTATTTTTATGATTGTCGTAATAACAAGGTGATAGTTTCTTAAGTCTCTCGTCTTCATATATGCCAGGATTAATTACTTTGCTCTTATATACGCACTTGTTTTGGCGGCGCTTATATTCCTTAAAGTTTTTAAAGTTTGCACTCAAATATCTCATGGTATGCAAACTGAATTTTTTTTGTTATGTTATGCTCATAAGCTAATTTTAGAACTTTTAGTTTTTAATGATTGTTTAATTCACTAATAAACCTAACATAGTTCTATTTTGAGATATAACTGGAATAGGTTTAAGAAAAAATGGATTATGTTTAACATTACATCAGAAAAGTCGGAGTCAAATTCTCACATTTGCAAAATAGAAAGGATTAAAACGCTAAACTTAGAAACTGTGGAGTATATAAATGAATGGTGGGGAAATTGTAAGGTATTTAAGTGCTAATTACCAAAAAAAGCAACGATAAAAATACATACACTCGCTGTCCAGATGTTAATTATCAATATCGTGAACGTTCGTGTGACAGCCACAAGGGAATATACAGTTATAACGATCTTGTAATATTTGCTCTGATTATGATATATCTCTACCTCTAGAATATAAAATAAAATAAAACTGTAATGCCTCAATAACTTTAGTTTTTTTTAACTCATTTAATTAATCCATGCCCTTAATTAAAAAAGTTCTAAAAAAAATCCTCAAAACACTGAAACGTACAAACAAACAAAAAATTTTTGGTAAATAGCACTCAGGTACCTTTTAGTTTCACTCACTTCGCACTTACATACCCTTTTAGTTATTAATTCTGGCAGCATTTATGCGCTCTAAATTGTTCAAAATCGGCATTTTGGTCCGAGAACCTCACCTGAACATAAAAGCGCATATAAAGAACGTTGGGATAAAAGTTTCTGAACGCTTAACGGAGCGGATACGGCTCGGATATGGCACTTATCATATCCATATCCGCTTACCCAACTCGGATACGGATACGGATACGGATATACGTCGATAAGAAAAATTCATATCCATATCCGCCAAAATCGGATACGGTTACGGATATAGATGCGGATATATAAACGGATATGCATGCGGATACAAAAAGGATATGAGAAAACTAGATAGTATTCAGAAAAATATAGTCATGTGATACAAAAAGAGTTCGTTAATATGTTCATTATGATTGAAAAGCTAAGATTAGACATCTTGATCATCAAAATTAACCACAAATCCATAATCTAAGAATCGAAACTATCGAAAGAGTATTACCAATATGTATTCGGATTTTTTCGGATACGGATACGGATACGGATATTTCACTATAAAACCATATCCGCAACCATATCCTATCGGTAATAGATTTGAGTAACCATATTCGTATCCTAACGGATACGGTTACGGATATTTCCTCGGATACGGATACGGTTTGGCACCCCTAGTCGCGAGGGTACAAACGATGAAGCGAGTGAAAGTGAGGTATCTAAGTGCGATTTGGCCGAAAGAAAACGTCGTTTCATGAGACGCCGTCTCAAAAGGAGTTACGCACGCGGCGTCACCCTGCTCGCCCGATACGACCGCCCCTTCTGCCCGAACCCAGTCAAAATCACCCCAAACCCTAACTGACAATCCACGTCGGTCAGCTTCAGGATAGGTGCACACAGAAGCAGCAGCAGCAGCGGCATCCCTGGTAAACCGTCTAGCCTCGATCCTCCTCTCCGTCATCTCCCCCCCGTCTCCATCTAGCATGCTCATCGTCGTCCTCCTCATCTCCCTCCTCTCCTCCCGTCCACGCCCCTGCCTCCTCGCTTCCTCTCCCCCGGTCACCGCCGCCACCCTCGTCTACCTCGAGCCCCTCCGCCCCCCCTCCCAGAAGCTCGCCGGCGCCCTCCCAACGCCGGCGCGCTTCGTACCTCTGTCATGCCGCCGCGGTCAACTGCTCCCCTCCTGCCCTCTACTACTACACTGCGCTCGGCTTCCTCAGGACTACACCCGCCTGTTCCTCCTTCTTCGTCTCCTCCATGGGCGGCTCCATCCTCCTCTCCCTCCTCCGAACCCTCTCCCTCCCCCTCGACGCCGTCTCCTCCCTCCTCCTCCTCCTCAACTTCTCCGCCGTCGGCGTCCTCTCCGTCTTCTCCTCGTCCGTTCCCATCCTCGTCAAGCAGTCCTACATGGTTGCGCTGGCGATCATCGTCGCCGCTTGGTTTACCCAGCTGCCCGAGTGGACCACCTGGATACTGCTTCTAGCTCTGGCTATATATGATTTGGTCGCCGTGCTTTGCCCCGGCTGGCGCCCTCAGAATGCTGGTCGAACTGGCTTCTAGTCGGGACGAGGAGTTGCCGGCCCTCGTCTACGAGGCCGTCCGACAGCCAACAGCAGCCGGGCGGTGGCCCCTGCTCTTGCTACTGTTGCTACCGTTGCTATGAACGTGGAGATGCAGCCGCGTGACTTCTACTAGCTTCTGGGGTTTCTGGCGATGGATCTGCCGTGGTGAGATGGGCAGGATGCCGCTGCGCGCCGCGGAGGAGGAGGAGGAGAGGGCTCCGTTGTTTGGGGATAGGAACGCTGGGGAGGGCAATGATGATGATGATGACGACGATTTGATGGAGGTGAGCAGGGGGATTCGGCTGGGTCTTGGGGATTTTGTGTTCTACAGCGTCCTTGTTGGGAGGGCGGCGATGTATGATCTGATGACGGTTTACGCCTGCTATCTTGTGATTGTGTCGGGGCTTGGATGCACGTTGATATTGTTGACGGTGTGGCGGAGGGCAGGCGTTGCCGGCCTTGCCCATTTCGATCATGCTGGGGGTGGCTTTCTATTTCTTGACGCGGTTGCTGATGGAGCCGTTTGTTGTTGGGGCCTCTACTAACTTGGTGATGTTCTGACTGTTTAAGCTTCTTGATTTTTTAACTCTTGTTCTGACGAAGATGATGATGGTGTTCTGTTAATGTATGAAATGGGCATATGATAGCAGTAATCAATAGAATGGTAGTTGTCAACAAGGAAGGTATAGGAGTAATGTGTAGCATCCTTTATCAATCTAGTCCCCTGATTCCTAATTTATGTTTTGTAGTTTTACAATGTGGGGGCTTCATGGCGATTGTCTTGCAATACAATCTCATTCTGGTAATGACCACATGGGCGATGAGGAATCTAATCTGATTGAGACTGTTTGATTTTTCGGGCAATTAATATTTGTATAGTAGTTGCATATTGAATATAATCCTATCATAAATTTGTCTTCACTAGATTAGTTGATTCTAACAATGTTCCATGGATATGGATTCACATGCAACAAATTATAAGAAATGTACATGATAAATATGTCTGACACACAACTTGGACACAATTTTAACACTGTGGCTTTACAATAGAGGTATCCGTGTTCTAATGTTAATAGGAGTTTTGACATCAGCTTGATAAGATATCTGCATGGTCCCAAAGATTCTACAAATTATAGTTCATTAGATGACCAAAGGAGGTCCAATCTTGAAATTTGTGGTGGCAACTGCCGCAGTGAAATCCCACCTCTTGATAGTAGGAAATCTACAGTCAAGATTTGAAGGGTTCCGTAATTTAGTGAAATACTGTAACTTCCATGCATCACAAGAAGATATATGAATGTTTTGATTACACTATGGTTTAGAAGAGGTACTTGAAATTGAGCGTGACCTCTTGTTTGATGCCTTCGTCTTTTGTTTACTTTTAATTTATGATCATGCAAACTTTGAAAATCAGCTCAAGCTCAACTCATAATAGCTGCATAACATTGAGAAAGTCTCTCCCTTCCTCTATCTTGTTGTGCTTCCATACCCAATTAATGAACAGTTCTAATAATTTTAACAGTGGTACTTGGAATAGCTTGATCTTTCCTTTTCTAATGCATTATTTTCACTAAATTGGGAAATGAAGATATGATAGATACTGTGACATGTTTATCAGTTTGAAACTTGAGCAGTAATGGTCATTCCTCTTCCTTTTAATGTTCATGGAAATATGAAGTATGTGTTGAGAACTGGAGGTTATAGAGCCTCATTTATTAGAACAGTGTCTGTCATGTTGTGTTTATTATCTAGGTGGTTTCCTGTGTTGGATCTCTGATTTTCTTGGGTTTGTCTTCTTTTGGATGCTTTTATTAATTTATCTGAATGGATGGAATGTCCCATTCATGTATGTTTTATTAAAGATAACAAAAATTTAGGGCCGCTAGTTGAAGCTATTTATTAAGGTCGGACTGATTTCAATCTATTGAATTGATGTTTTCTATTGAAGAATTGGAAGTTTGGAATATTACACGACGGTGATTGTGCATGTAACATGTAAAAATTCTTAGTTATATTCAAATGTGAAGTAATTCTTCAAGTGAGATAATCGACTGCTGCACATAATTTACTTGTCTCATTTTTTGAATCTATTACTAACTAAAAAAATATTGATTTAGACTACACATTATTCAATGTACAGACATCCATTTTGTCATAATATTTTTTGCCAATTAATAATGCATGCCATCTGTTTTATTTTATAAATCTGTATAAAAGATCAAGTATAGAATTCATCGGATTGTGGTTGATTTTTGCTATGGTGAGGATCTGAAAGAATATCAACTAGATGACTATCTGGTAGTTTGTTCCTTTATGTTTAATGGTTTATGTTGTGCTTGATATCTGCTAGTTAAGGCGCAAGGCCTACTGTGCATTGCCAATGGGGTAAAGCATTGACATATATGCCAGAAGATGCTGATAGATGCTTGTATACTGCTTGGACTGTCACCATTGGTAGTACATGGCATACCCATGTCCAATAAGGGCCTGCAAACCCATCACTAGTTCAGCTTGATAAATTAAACCATGATGTCTTCTTGAGACTGTTTTACCCATGGTTTCAGAACAGAGTTGTCTGCAGTTTGAAGATTTTGTTTGATTTTCTAATTGCTTTGGTCCGAAGAAAGCAAGGGAGGGTGCTCATACTCAACAACGATGATGGTTGATATTTCTGTAACAGCAGCCATGCATGGACTTAAGACGGAGTTGGGTAACAATGGTAGTACAACTGATGCTACAATGTGTAATATGACATAGACTTAGTCTGTAAGAACGATTTGTGGATGAAGATACAAATCAAGCAGAATAAGGCGTTGAAATATAACATGAAAATGCTTGCTGCAAGGATAGGTTCATGCCTTCAATATGTCTCGTGACAAATCATTATGATATCCGTTAAGTCCATAAAGTAACGTAGAGAAAGTATAATAACAATTTGATGTATTTTGTAGTTGCTAATATAGAATTTCCATTTGATTAGGTTAAAATTAAGAAACTACTGTAAGCAAAGTTTCAGCTCTGGGAATCAAGCAACCTAGGAAAATTATGTATGTGAAAGAGGTTGTTTATGGGCTAGCAAGTAATTTGCATTATTCTTTTCATAAATCTTGCATTCATCATATCTTATCTAGCTTTCTGCATTTTTTGGGGTAGGAGAGACTAGGTCTACAACATAGATTTATGATCCTCCTTAGTTACGTTCATCCCATTGGATTAGTGGCTTTTTTATTTTATGATGCATTTGGCGTTTTTTAGGATTGTTTACTATACATTTTTATGCGATTTTCTTTATTCTCGTTTCTTTTTGCCAGTAACATTTAGAAAAGGACCAAAAAGTGAGCAAGGCCTTACCTGATGGGCAGGCTTGATGAGAAGCTCTGTATCTCCCAGCTTGTCATTCTCCTTTTATCTAAGAAGGCGATCCATGGAACAAAGCAACAGCTTGTCATTCTCCTTTTATCTAAGAAGGTGATCCATGGAACAAAGCAACAGATGTTTAGGTTTAGAAACGTTAAGAGATCTAGAAAAAATTTAGTTGGTTGTTGTATCAAGAAAGTTGCGACCACAATGAGACGCCAACTTTATCAAGATAGTAGTAGTTGTGAAGACAAAGGATTATCAGGATTATCATGACAACATTGTAGTGTACATCTTGGAGATGGAGACACATCTGACGAAAGAAGGAAATGAACTATAACCCTGGTACAATGTAACTTGGAGGAAATCACACGTAACCGACTAACAAGGCATACAGGTGAACCTCAGGACTTGAACTATCCTAATTTTAGTCTCCTGGCACTTGAAGGCAACATAAACTGAGGATATTCCTTCTAGAACAATTCATAAACATCATGCTATCGATGAACATGCAAATTGCGTCAATTGCAAGAACTAGCACATACCCCTTGTATGTTGTATTACTAGATTAACACATGTTCAAAGTTGCACCCATCACTAACACATTTCAAGTATCCCCAATTACGGGACTGCTTCACCACCCTCACAAAGATGTTTCATTTCACAGGTCCAATATATGCAAAACACCTGCATCGCAAGATAATAGATTATATCAATTCTGCTACAGTAGAAAGAAGGTAGGAGGTTTAAGGCTAGAACATGCAGGTAACAAGGTCTGCCTATTGAAATTCATCAACATTCCAGGACTCACAAACGCAAGCTTCCACCTGAGTCCAGAAACTGAAGATTCTGAGATACAAAAGTGATTCTAACGCTGATAATTGTCTCAACTCCTTTCATGAGACTGTCTGATACATTTGGATGGTCCAAGACTTTCATTTACTTATCTAAATATCCTCAGAAGTCCAAGCTCTTAGGTGGTTGGATTTATTAAAAGCAAAGTAGGTCAGGTTATTATCAAGATATAGGCATGCTGTGCATCCCATGTTGCTACCAAGTCCAATAAGTAGTCGATCTTTCCATAACAAAGATGAAGCCAGATGAGGATCCACATCTCTCAGCTTGTCATTTCCTGTGGATCTCGGAAGAAGAGAAGCAGATGGCAATTTTGATTCATAAAACAAAAGTATGGTTTTTAGATTTGGAAAACATCAAGAACTCCTAAAAATTTTGTTTGATTCTTGTATTAACATCCTGAAGAACCCAACCTATGACATAAAGATATGGTAATTTAACTCCACAGCTATGAGCACTTTGTGGAAAAATTTAGTTGAGTTTGTTATTCTGTGGTGCCTTAAGATTGTGTAATTAAAGCATTTTCTATTCTATTGGATCTATGCAGTCATCTTCATTCTCAACTGGCCTTAACAGAGGTCCAACTTACAAGTGATTTACCGCTGTGATGCTGTTTCACATATAGCCTATATTTTTTATTTGACCGGCTGCGTAATAAGAGATTCCTTCAGTCTTGCATATTCAAGAATCAATAATGTTATTAGCACTTAGAATCTGTGGTGAGAAATTGTTGGGATCACCTTGGCCATCCTTTTACGTTGTTGGTGAAACCTTTTGATTAGATTTCTCTCATTAAAGAGGGGAAGAAAAGGCAAAGAAGACTATGAATCAGGTTGTATATCCTTCTGAGTCTCTCTCTCAATTTTCAAATGCGTATATACTGCAGGTTTTAGGAAAACTGACAACATGGACATGAAATACATTTCTTGGTCACTGTAACTTTTCTTCTCGCACCTCTATAGTTATGATCTTGCCTGACTATTGTGATTATTAAACATTCAGGTGCCTAATGGTGCGTAATACTTCAATCTTTACAGAATATCTGCGCATTAGTCTCAGTATTATCCATATACACCTAGTTTATAAGTGCTCCACAGGTCCTATCATTTTCTGATGAAGCCAAGCTAAGCTTTGTTCTCAAATTCCTCAAGTAATTGTTACTAATTACTTGTTAGCAATTCCTTTTCTTGTATCATTTAAACTTGTGCCTAGAATACTTAGTGATGAGTTGTAAGCATTAACTATACACAGCAATGAGCTGTAATCATTAACTGCAAGTTAAACGCTGACTGTTCTCTTAGGTGAATGGTCTTTTGTGGCTACTTAAAGAACCGTATGACATCATTTATTGCTGTCAAGGCAAGGAGGATTAAAAGCTGAAAGGGAAACTACGAAAGTAGTTTATCTAGAGGTTAAAACTTTCTGCTTCTAGGAGCGAGAAGGAAAGCAGGCCCTATCTACTTGGTGTCTTGGTGGATCTTGAAGAATTCTTTCTGATGGTGTAAATTAGTGTTATGGATTTTGGTTTATGTTGGCTTCCTGTTTGCTGAAATGTTTCAGTATTAGGTTAATGACTATTATTTTATAACTTGATAGGAAGAACGTTGTAAAGGCTTGTATGAATGAAGTGATTTAAGAAAACCTTGTATACGAAAACCGTCAACTCTGATGTCAGATGTTATTTGATAACTAACACTTCGAATTTAAATGCAGTTAAAAAATCTGTAAGTGCACGGGTATCATTAGCCTTTGAGGTCCTTTGATTATTCAGAGGTAGTAGATTGTAATAGTTTAGGACATTATTGGTTGTCGATTCATTTGGTTATTCAATTCCATAGCTAAATTCTCCTAGCCTTTCTGTTAACGTTGTCAATTGGCCTGGTGTGGGGGCAAGCTATTTAAAAACCTTTAATAGTAATTGCTGTAGATCCAACAAAGTTTATTTCAGATAGAGACCACAGAGTTATCCGCTTGCAGTTCCACTTCAAGACCATTTATCTGTCTTTCATTACCAAGCTCCGTATGTCCTCTCTGTATCCTCTCTGTAACTGAGCTCATGTAGATTTGATCATCCAAATCTACTGGAAATGTAACTTGTGATACGATTATGATTCGGCTCATTAATATGATATAGACAGTTTTAATCTTACAGCTTGACTGATTAATTGTCATATTACATGCAAAAATTTAAAACCTGTCGGCATTGGCCCTTTGGCCCTTCCATGGGCATCAACTATAGAGCTGTGGTGGTTAGCATGCTTGACGTGCTTAGATGCTGATGCACTTTGAGTGTGTGTGTGTGTGTATGAATTTATTCTTCACAAGTGGTTATTTTCTGTCTCTGTACGAGGCCTTGGATCAAGAACATGTCAATTTCTTTATTAATTGGCTGGGTAAAGGTGTTTTTTATATCTTTCTTTCACCTTTTATCTTTCGTTTCTTTTCTAATCTTTTATCAATGAACCATGGTTACATTCTTGATTGTGAAATTACCATGCTAACTTTTCACTCATTTTGTAGTGAAGTGCTGGCTTTCTCAGATTCACGCAGGGACACTGGTCTGATTCTTATAGCTCAATAACTGGCACAGCAGAGAGAGAAGAATGGGCATAATGTGCTACTTTGTCAGTTTGTACTGCGTGTGCATGTTAATGCTGAGAGGCACAATTGTGAAGAAATGATATGTTCAAATAATTTATGAGCATCCTTTGCTCATTCCAATGGCAAGTACCGCAAAAAGTACACAAATACATGTTATAATCACTTCAGAAAATTTATAAATTCCAACATATATACTGATCCTATTCATGTTTTCAGGACAAATAATGAGAGAACGCAGAAATGCAGACAGAATGCAAGATGATTGCAAACGTATGTGTGCGTGCGTGGATGCACACATGTATCAGTAATTCTTATTAGAGAAAAATATCTACCAGTTGCACTCACAATTTTAATTTGCAGGGAAGAGAAGTTCTAGAAAGCATATATCCTGAAATAAAAATATGGTGTGGCCATACATTATGATGATATGTTTCCGTAACTATGACGATTTCCTTGCTCGTAAGCATTAATTGGGAACGCATATTCGACACGCTATGACACTTTGATTCAAAGGGTAACTACTACCTGGTAGTGTCTATTATGTGGGAGAGAGGATCAAGTCCTGATCCATGTGATCCTTTCTAAAAGTAAAGGTTACAAAGTTGCTGACTTTTGTAAAAAGGAGAAGGGGGGCAATGAGTCAGCGAGTTAGCTGATGATAGGTGAAAAGCCTCAATAATTAAACTCTCCTTCAAGTCTACCTATATATAAGCACTTACATGATGAGTGAAGACAATTGCAGGAAAAGGCAAGCTTTGCTAGCTAGAGAAGAAAATATCTATCAAGTCTTGGTAGTCATGGGAAGGCCACCTTGCTGTGATAAGGTTGGAATCAAGAAAGGGCCTTGGACTCCTGAAGAAGACATCATACTTGTTTCCTACATTCAGCAGCATGGACCTGGCAACTGGAGATCTGTTCCTACTAACACTGGTAAATCTTTTTCTTTGATTCTTCTTGAAAGTTTTGCTCAGATTTTTCAAAGGAAGATATTTGGGATGTTCCTTGAACTATTCTTGAATTTTGCAGGTTTGCTGAGATGTAGCAAGAGCTGCAGGCTGAGATGGACCAACTACTTGAGGCCGGGGATCAAACGTGGGAACTTCACTGCACATGAAGAAGGAATGATCATCCATCTCCAAGCCATGCTGGGTAACAGGTAACTCTTCTCTTATTAACCTTGGTAAAAATGAAGTTACAGATTTGTTACTGATTGATTAATGAACATGTTGATGGTTGAGAAATCTTGCAATTCAATCTATGATTAGACTACAACTGTGTTACCCTGAATGATTATGTTACCCCAATGCATTACAATAGTTCATAGGCAAATATTAATAGCCGATTAATGTGCATTCTTTGTTTTGCATTGTAAAATGTCTACTATACAGGATTAATCAGTGCTGCAACTGGTTAAAACTTCTCATGTCTCACGTGATTGAAAAAAAAATCTTTATAAGGATTTCATATAGTATACTTAGGTCTGATGTCATTTAAAATAATATAACTATAGTTTTTACTTTTTAGCTCATGATAGTTGGTGGTTATAGGATGGTAGTGCTTATTTTTGGCTTATATGTTTAATCTGTTCAGTCTCTTGTTGTGATTAACTAGGCTACCCTGTTGTCCTATTAATTATTCTGGACCCTGCTATTTCTTTTCATGATCAATGACATATGCGTTTGCTTGCATGGAGCTTTTCCATCCATCCATTTATGTCAAAAAAAAGTTTAGAGGTCCACAATACTTTTCATGTGTTCATATGTGTTCATATGTGTTCATATGTGTATTAATGTTTTTAAGGGATGGTAGTGCTTATTTTTGGCTTATATGTTTAGTCTGTTCAGTCTCTTGTTGTGATTAACTAGGCTACCCTGTTGTCCTATTAATTATTCTGGACCCTGCTATTTCTTTTCATGATCAATGACATATGCGTTTGCTTGCATGGAGCTTTTCCATCCATCCATTTATGTCAAAAAAAAGTTTTGAGGTCCACAATACTTTTCATGTGTTCATATGTGTATTAATGTTTTTAAGGGATATCAGACAGCCTGGATAATTTATTCAAATGGGCCACAATCCATTTCAAATTATTTCTGTACTTAGCGAATTAACTTCTAAAATTAGGGTTAATTGCACATAGACTCCCTTTAGTGTCGATCTTTTGACCTTACTACCCTTGTAGTTTACATTGTTGCAGATAGACCCCTAGGTTGAATTTTCTTCTCTTTTATCATAGGTAAAGTTCTGGCAGATATTGCTACGGTTGAACTCAATGAGTATTTTGAGGATAAAGTCTAAAAAAGAAAAAGAAAAAACAGCGTAGTATGTTTTAAACAACAATACTACATGGGGTCTATATGCAATTAACTCATAAAAATATCAACTAAATATGTATTCATTTTCTCTGTAGGTGGGCAGCTATAGCCTCATACCTTCCCCAGAGAACAGACAATGATATCAAGAACTACTGGAACACCCACCTCAAGAAGAAGATCAAAATGTTGTCTCCATCAAAGGATGCCTACATTTCTTCATCCGATACTGATATCTTGAAACCAGAGATTCCAGAAGCTACTTCAACAACCCGAAGCACTACTTATGCTTCAAGCACGGAGAATATCTCAAGACTTCTTGAAGGGTGGATGCGATCCTCATCACCAAACGCTAACACCACCATCAACAACAGCAGCAACATTCAGATGACAGTGAAAGAAAATGAGGTCAGAGACAACGAGAAAGAACTCGAGTCACTTATTTTGTTTGAGAACCTTAGCAACACTGTTAATTGGGACAAACTCACGACTGAATCAGATAGTGAGGTGAAGAACGAGCAACCTCCATTGTTCTTTCTGGAGAAATGGCTGCTTGACGAGGCGTCCGGGCACGTTGATGAGCTAGTGGATGTTTCAAATACAGCAATGCTCATCTAAATGTCCTTAAAATGCTCCGAGTATGGGAAGGGAAAAAAAAAATTAAATGTATGGCTTGTTATATAACAATATATGCATGAAAAGGATGAACATACTGTGAGATTTGGCTCTCAAGTGTAAGAAATAATATATGAGCAAATTCTCATGGAATATTATTGAATAAATAGTTGGGAGGAATGAAAAGTAAAATTTCAGTCACTACTACTTATTTCCTTGCGGTGTGAAGAAACTCTGATTATTCACGTTTTGGCGGAACGAAGTTGGAACAGTAAATAATTAAAATGTGATGGTGATTTGGACTTTGTTTTTCCTTTTTAAGAGCCATACCTAGAATTATCTGATTATCACCATTACAATCTTTAGAGGTAGAGAGAGGACCAAGGCAAGGACGATATTTTAAATGTTAAACATCATGCATCCATCTTCAAACTGTATCCTAACTCTACCCTAGGGGTCAAGTGCCAGTAAGAATCCAACTCAAGACTACCCAAGCAAAAAGGAAATCCTTTGGAGGGGCTGTAATTAGACAGGATGAGGGCATCTAATCTAGCATAAATTTCGATGTATATATCACTTCCATCTGTCGATGGGATTTTTTCTAGTAGCTATATTGATAGCGGATAGCGATGTGTGCACATTGAGGTTTGTGCTAAGCTAGGTGTCTTCATCCTACTAGGTTTTAGTAATGCTAAACCAAATAATTGTGAAGGTGTATCGCGAATTTTGGGCGTGCTTTGTTCTGCTCATTAGATTGTTGCTTTCTCTTTAATTTTCTCTTCTCTTTTCTTTCCCTTCCAAATAAATTTGACAAATACGAACTATTTATTTTTCTCCAATTTCATTTATCCTTCGGGGCTGTTTGGTTCGTTTTTTAACTCGGTGGAAAAGTTTTACACTGCCTCCACATCAGATTTTTCATGGCCACGTAGGATATAAGCTTTCCGTCGGTTTTTTTCCCCTCATATTTGGTTCGCTAGGGTTGAAGAAGGGAAACTCGGTGAAAATCGCCACCACATCAGATTTTTTTCTCTCCCCCAATTCCTTCCTCAACCTCGTGAAATCGACGAAAACTACAGCCACGTCGGCTTTTTACCATATAAACAAAAAAATTTTCCTTTTTTTCCATGCGAACCAAACACAAGAAAAATAAATATATTGGTTTCCCATCATTTTTTTTTGTGCGAACCAAAGCGAAACAATATATTTCTTGGAAAAGTTTAGAAAACTCAAAACTTATGTTTTTTTTACATGGAAATGCATTTCCCTATATCTAGGAAACGAACCAAACAGCCCCTTCGAATAAAGGCTCCACAGAATATAGAAGTTATCTACCATTTGTGGCTTGTAAATTGGCCATGGGGGATTCTACCAGTCCATTACTCTGTAGTCTCTATGGTAAGTATGTAATTTAAAGCTAAAGGGACAAGACCATAGTTAGCTTTTAATGAAAGAGTTGGTAGGCTTTCTTAATACTTGAAAACTACAGCTCCTTCAAAAAATTGAGTAACGGCAAATTGAGGTAAGGCATCATGGTGGCCAATTTAATGTGAATTTTCCTTTTTATCCGTTGGCTTGGGGAAGTGGGGTTTGCTTACTGCTAGATATAGATTTGATTTAATTTCCATGTTAAATGGTCAAACAAGAAAGTTCGTAGCATCGGATTGTTACTTCAAGTTATTTTATTATGTGATCTTTTACTAATTATTGAAATAGAGTTTACATAAGACTGTAAATATATTTTGATCACATTGGTCAATAACTATGATCTCTCTTTATATTTGTTATACAAAATGGACGGCTTTGGTTTTAATGAATAATTGAAAAACCTTCTTTGCATATTTTTCAGATTAACAAAATGAAATTTGCCGCTAAATTATCAGCCCGTTATTTTTCTAGTGTAGAAAAGCAAGTAGACAGCTTATAACTAGAAATATTTGTCATCTAGGATTCTCTTATCCATCAAAACAAACAATTCCCAAAAAATTACCTCTCTTCCACATTTACCCAAATCACAAAAATCCATTTAAATCTCAAACTGACAAACTATCACAAGAAATGGTTGAAGATATCCAACTTTGCATCACTGTCAATATCACCCATCCAATAAAATAAAACGTGTGTTATTGGGATTTTTCCTTACAAGAAAGAAACTTGAAGCCCAATTTTCCACAGGATCTCAACAGGAGAAGTTCACAGTATTGAGAAAAGAATCCCATAGATTGTAACATTTTTCATATCTTACGGGATATAGGATTAAGAGATCCAACAGTACAATGAGAAAATTTTCAATTTGGTTCTCAGTCACTAATCAGACAAATGATTCTAAGTCCACCACAATATCAAAAGGCATCTAGAACTGGAATTGCATCTCCTTTGTGTAACCAAGCTCATCGAGGTGCGCTGCCATGGCCTTGTTCATGGGAGGTGGACCACATCGTAAAATCTAGAAAAAGAATTATCGAACTATATCAATTTCACGAGCTTAAAGCATCCAAGAACACTAGAAAAATAAGTTATTTTTTACAATTTATTAATTGACAATAGCTATTTAGATATTTGCCCCTTAAACCTTTCAAATTTGAAATTCATTCCACAATTAAAATTGCTATTAGGACCTCAATTCTTAAGTTATTTTGAAATTAGTCCCTCCAATCAAGAGTATAAGTCGCAATTAGACAGATTTTGAAACAACTTATGAAAATTAGGGGACCCAACAGCAATTTCAAAGAGTCGAGGACTAATTTAAAAATAGGCTAAATATTTAAAAAAAACCCTTAGCATAGGACAGCTATCAGACTACACCCCCATTAACTTGAAAAATTGCCGCCCCCCCCCAACCCAACCAAAAAAAACCAATAAAAAAAACTCCTCTTTAAGTTCAGAAATTATCATAAAACCGCCTAAAAAAGTCCTCTTCAAGTTCAGGAATTATCATAAAACCCCCTAAAAAGTCTCTTTAAGTTCAAGGAATTACCATAAAACCCCTCCCCCCCCCCAAAAAAAAGCAATAGTTTTTGGGGTGTTTTCTGATAAAAGGGGGGGGGGGGGTTTGATAAAAATCTTAAAGTTAACAGGGGGTTTTCTGATATTTTTAAAGATATGGGGGGGTTATGTGATAATTGTCCGAAGCTAGGGGTATTTTCTGATATTTAGCAATTTCAATGATCTGAGGGACTAATTCCAAAATATGAAATATTTAAGGGACTAATGTCAAAAAAACTTAAAATGATAATGTAAAGCTTAGCATACCTGGATGTCAGTGGCTGGTGATGGCAAATGAGTTTGAATCATTTCTTTGGACACAAAACCAACACCCCCATTCCAGACCTCAGGAGGCTGATGAAAGAATTAAGAAATGTTGTAAATAATCAGATGGAACATAGTATAAAAGAAAATTAAAGACATGAAAGAGCTCTAGCTGGATGTTCCTAATTTTATGATCCTCATAAAACACTATTCCTAATTTCTGTTATTATGTATCGATTTGATAGAGAGTGCTTGCAACAAAAAGGAGTGAACAAAAGAACCTGATTCAACACATAGTAAACTTGGAAGCGACCTGGATAGTTCTTAACAAGGCCATCTAGCTCTTCCTGCATTGAGCATGAATATGAAAGTCAAATCAGTAAAATTTCATGTTGAATAGAAACCAAATCTATAGTACCACCAATTGTTAAAGAACTAACATGCTTTAAATTAGCAGCTCCATCTTAACCATTAAAAATATGTGATGTCTTATCTCTGAGCAAATTTACACATCCAATTTGCACAGATACAGAAAGAGACTAGGATAAACTCAGTAGTGCCGGGAGCAATAATTGTCAAACTGTTGAGGGTTTGTGGTTATATCTAGATTAAAAAACCACATCATGGATCTTGTCTACTATATATTGCAAGAAATCTGAAATGACTAGAAAACAAGAAGCCATGTATGACCATTCTTACTTTAATGAACGAAGGTTGAAAACACAAGTTAATTCGAGGAGCATTAAGCTCAGTTCAGTAGCTATTGAACTTACTGAATCTAGCTTAACAGATTTCTAGCTTGGTCATCAATGGCTTGGTTTACAAATCACATGACACAGAATATACTGGTCACATTCATTAAAGTGGTAGGACGAGTAATGGTAGCACGTGTTTGTATCATCCAATAAAAGAAGGCAGTAATCTATGAGTCTACTACAAAAGAAGGCATTAATCTATGATTCTTCAGCATCTATAGCCCATATTGTGATGGTAAGCATTCCTGTATGACTCCAAAATGTTGAGTTTACTTGACTATTCAAGATAGCAAAATGTCGTGTCAGCGTATGGAAGTACTTATCACCATTGTCATCAGCATATGGAAGTACCTATCATTATTGCACCTCACAATCGAAGAAAAGGTCAATCAAAGAAAGGGTCAGCTACAAGTTAAAACTCCTCAAAAAGCCGTCGTCATCATCAGCATCATTATTTCAGTCTTGAGAGCTAAGGCCGGCTAGGTAGCAGAGCTCCATAAAAAATATTCAATAAAGCTGCAATCTGAGTCAACTCTCTTAATGCTGAATTATAGGACAAGGAGTTATGGAAAAGAAGAGGGAGAGGCTTTCTGTAACCCTAAAAGCTATGAAGGTCGGTTGACGTTCTCCAACTAATCCTGGACTAAAAGGATTTAAACAGCTCCCAACCTGAAATAGATACTCCGGGGCGGATGCCATAGAGAAGAGAACTTGATGATTACAATGAAGGAGAAGTTTGCCATATTGTTAACGCACCTCAAGCTCATGCAACCAAAGACATTAATAAAAGAATTTTTTTGGGGGGTAAAATTTAATGAAATCATACCCATCAACTCTTAGATCAAGCCCCAAATTAGCAAGATGGCAAGATGGCCATCCAAATGATAAAGCGAAAAAAAAATCAACCATATGGACAACATTACCTTTACAAGGATATCCTCAAATGTGACATTGGCATAGATAAGATGAACATTTGTCTTGTCATTTGGGTTCTCCAATATAGCTCTTGCAACCTAAGATACAAAGCAGAATAAAGAATTGAAGAATTTATCATAAAAAACCAGAGAAATTTTTTGGCAATGTAATTGGTTTGCAAAATTATATGAACCTGAAACATTGGAGTTATGCCAGATCCTCCAGCTAGCATTCCGAATGCTCTAACTTGTCCAGTTTGATATTTGAAGCGCCCCTAGAAGCATTAAAAGGGTAATACAATTTTAGAAAGCTGCCACTTCATTAAAACTAGTATGTGACTTAGATTATCACTCAAGAAAATTGTGTCAGAAAATTTTGGTCAATGCTTTATGATACAGCAGCAGTAGCATGGATATCAGATAACACAAAAACTCATATAGTATAACCATTCAACAGTGGAAATAGGCAGTTAGATGGCCGAAATCGAGATGTGGTATTTAATCGGAAATTTTACTTCATGGTTCAATTTTCATGTTACTAGATGAATTGAAAGAACACTATCAATACCAGGTGATAAGTGCAGCGGCGGAGCTACATTGTGCCCAGTGGTGTCACTGGACTAGTGGTGTCACGGGACACCAATGGATTGCCTACTTGATAGGTATTTTTATTTACTTTTCCTCGTATTTACTATGTAGGACACCACTAGAATTAGGGTAGAACACCCCCAAGGAGGATAAAATTGCAACATTGTCAATTTACATTCAAACTATAATCATGATAACTTATATGCGGACATCAATGGGACAAAGATCTTGGATCCATTGCTGAATGAGTGCCTTCCCGGAGTTAAATAAAAAAAAAGCTTGTAAAACAAAACAAATCACCCACAAACAAACAAAACAGAGGAATAGGATTTGATTATCACCACTACTTTCAAATTTTAATAGAAGAAAGGAAATGCACAATTGAAGAAAGGAATCAACAAAAGAAAGGAAATGTGTAACAGAGGTGTTGAAAAGACGGAACAATACAGACTGGTCTAGAAAGAAACTACCTTTCATGAGAACTAGAAGAGAGACCAATAGAAGCAAGTTAATTGCATTGAAAACTCAGCCTTTGAAGGCAAGCGAAGTTATGACAATAACGTAATCAAAAAATGTCAGATGAACTAACAAATGGTGTCACCTAAGCGTAACTAGCATACTGTGACGTTAATGAATAGACATATAATGTCATGACTCATGACAACACAAATATGATAATTCACCAGCTATCATCGCATATGGTCATAATAATTGCTGCAGATTACTATGTATTATGTAATTCATCCATTAGATGGCCAGTTTTCTTGCTTCTAGAGTTGTAAAAGAAATTAGATGAGCAAAAATGCACAAAAAGATCAAGAAGTAGGAGACTCTCTAATAGGGAAAGCATCCAACACAGTATCCCCTAGAAATTAATATAATATAACTGTTTTCTTACATGGGTTAGAATTATCATGTGACTAGCAAGTTCTAGCCTATTAGAGCTTTTAAGGCTTTAAGCCCCAATGTTCTAAGTTAAAATCATAAGGTGCGTCTTATCATATCAAGTAGGTAATGATAATAAAACAAAAAGTTAAGAAACTAGCTTGGAATTGTAAAGAACACTGTAATTTTTTATAATTTTATTTCCTTTTGATGAAATAAAGAACACTGTGTATTAATAACATAAAATCAATGAGTTGAATATTGCATTTCATGGTAAGGGCTAACACATATCAAGATATATCAATAAGTCGAATATTGCATTTTTCTTCTATTTTGAAAAGCCTTGCAGCCCATAATTGAACCGGAATCCAAACTGATTTTAGGAACTTATTTAACAACTAGTCAAAAGATGTGAAATATTACAAGATAATAATTGTACAATATGATAACAATCATTGGATATATATACCTTGATATATATCAGATTTCATGCATATCATATCAAATCATGGAGTACTACAGATATAGTAAGATGTTACTGACATTCATTTTCAAACCCAAGATTTTATTATTTCTTTTTAAAGAGAAAGCAAGGATACGTGGTGAACTCGGTATTATTCTCTCTCAAGTTTCTTTCCTTCCTATACTACTCCTTTACTTGCATCCCTTTCTAACATATCCATATGGAACCAAGTTTTCTCCTAACATTGGAACCAAGTTGAAGTTAAAAAAACTGACATGTTTGTCAAGTACTTAAGATAATACTACTATAAAAGAGGTTGCTATGTTTAAACTTTTGATTTCCTTTTATACCCTCTCAATTTTAATGATACCCAATAACTATAAGTACTAAAGTTTGTGTGGTTCTAATGACTACTAGGTTCCCTTGAAATTATGTTTTTGGTTAAGCATTAATTATCATGTTAGTTATCTTGTGATGACTTTTGGGTTCCCATGAAATTGTATTTTGGGTTAAGCTTCTTAATTTTGTTTTACATAGCTACTATTCAGCTCGAAAATATAGTTAGTCATATGCAATAATATGATGAAGGATAATGTTTTAGAGCAACCAACCAAGATTATATTATGCAAAGGCCTCTTTATGCATGTAGAAAGACACAATTTTAATCTTGACTAAGTATGAGAAATGTTTGATCAATAATTTCTTCATGTTCTTTGTTTAGAAGAATAGAAAATTTGCTTATAGTTATACCATAGAACTGTGCCTAATGTTGTACAAATTATGTACAGTGTGCTAATGTAATAGCTAATGTAATAGCTAACCATTTTGATTTGGACTCCCATGAAAGAAGAAAACGAGCACTAAAGAGTAACTTCTAGGAAAAAAATATGTAGGAGGATGAATAATCAAATTATTTGAAGAGATGAAGAGTCAATATGAAAGTTTAATGACAAGATATTGAGGGTTAAATGAAAATGACGTGTACTCAATTTAGCAATATAAAAAATTAGATAACGCTAAAATATCCTTAAAGTTATAATCTAAAACAAACCACTAAGTAAAAACTACAGAGTTTGGACCATAAGGATGTTCAATGCCTTTGGTAGTCATCTTCTTTTCTTTACAGAAAACTTATGTTGATGCTATAATAGAGTGGATCCCTAAAACTTTGATGTTTTGATATAACCCCTAAAAGTTATTGTTTAAATAATAAATTTAGCATTAAAAACTAATTTAATAACATAAGTTAATCTATAACTGTATCACGTGCAATGCACGTATGACATATTAGTGATGTCAAACACAAGTTAGAATAAGGGTCCAATGGGGGATAATCTATTTTTATGTTAACCATAACGTACTCAATAGTCCACACATATACTCTAGAAACAACTAATGGGGGGCATTGAAATAAGTAACGTTTTTGAGGATGGTATATCAACATATAAAGGTCTAGCCAGGGTAAATGAAAGTGAGGAAGAGTTCATGGGGACATAAATGAAACTCTTTGCATAGATGAAGATGAAAAAAGCATAGGAAGTACACGAAAGTAAGGAAAATTATTTGTTCATTAAAACATCACACAAGCACTCAACTACCATGACTCAACGCAACGCAACAAACTAAGGACAATCACCACTGGCATGTGCATATACAATCTGTTACTCTGGGCAAGCCAATAACAGCTATAACCACTGTTATAAATAGCGGTAAATAGCCCCGCAATAGCGACGCTAATAGTGTGAGCGGTCCCTTCCCGCGACGCTATCGTCCGCTACGCTATCGCTCAATAGCGGGGACATATTACGGAATATGTCTGTTCGCAAAAACGGCTAATAGTATCATAACGATAAATAGTGAGCGATTGCATTCGAAATTCGAGCATGGGAAGGCTTGTGGAGGTTTAGCAAGAGACAACAAACAAAGGGGATGTAATATCGCGCTCTTTCAAGCAGTTAAGAACAAGACCATACTCGAAGTCGAGCTCTTTTGCATCTTCCAAATAGCAGCTGAAAAGGAGTGTCAGAGGATTTAGATTGACCCTAACGTCAGACATGGTCTACTCTCAAGATCCCACCCAAACAAAGTCCGCAGCTAAGGAAAGGTTGCAACATATGTCGGGGAGGCCTTCGTTGATTGTGTACGAACAAAATACGAGTCCAAAGGTAGGGTAAGAAAGGGTTTAGCTAATAGAGAAATTGACTCTTCCGGGAACCAGTAACGCGTAAGCCATGTCAAACCAAGACCGATCAATATCCGAACGGAACGGATTCGAACTTCTCCTAGAATGCTTTTTGACTGCTATTTAAAAGCGGTTTGAGGTTTATTTTTTTAAAATTAAACTTAACCCTTGACCATTACATTTCACCGTCTCCTGTGATTTTTAGGATACTCTCGCCACCTCTTATAGCCTCTGGCACTTACCTTGATATTTCCTCTCACCTCCTTCACCGTGAGCTCCTCTTAGGGCAGTCCTGTCACCGCTAAGCTCTTCTTCTCAAAGACGACTTTTTGACTCCTCCAGTCATCTTCGGTATTACGTGATGGTTACATGTCTATTTTATGTTTAGGGTCACTTTAAATCATCCAATATGTACTTTTAGATTTCTTAGATTTTTCTTTAATTTTTCTTTTTTTAGTATTTATACATATCTAAATTAGATCGCTATTTGACTTTGCGTTTTTTATCGTTATTTTGTCGCAATAGCCCGAAAATAGCCTTAACGATGCCTCATCGTTACGCGACGCTATCCGCTATCGATAACCTTGGCTATAACACATTCCACAGCCTTTTGAGTAGAATTCCATGTGAATACCTACAAAACTTATCAACATCCTGCACCTAGGCAGCGTTCTACACAGCAATGAAACTCCAACAAACAAAATTTATTGCATTTCTCATATATGGCTATGCCGGTTTTGTACTCAAAATTTTTACAATCAATTAATTTCTTCTTTGCCTAACTTTAACTTGGATTAACAATCCAACAGCCAGAACTACTAAAATTGATCATAAGTTCTTCTGCAATTACAAGTCAATGAACACTTTAATATCCATATAAATGTAGACTAATAGCACAACTTATGTTTATGAACAATATACATAACACGATGCATTCCCAGAGGGTAAAAAAATCATATACCTTAGGACCCTTTACGGACAAGTAGTCGCCAACTTTCATCTCACGAAAATGATGAGACATTCTTCCTTGAGGATACATCTACAAACAATTTTAAAAATAAAAGTCAACACAATATAACAACCCGAAATCTAATTAATCACTCAGAAAACGAACAATTTTTCACTTTAGCCCTATTTAAATTTTTTATTATTAAAATCGACCCTTTTTTCTTTTATTTATCAAAACCGACCCGATTTCTTGATTAGCGGCTTAATCACATTCCTAATTAGTCGGGGTTGCCAACCCCGATTATTTAGGATATTAATTTTTAGGGTTTAAGGCTTCTAATTAGGGTTTAAGACCCTCCTAAATAGTCGGGGTTGGCAACCCGACTAATTAGGAATGTGATTAAGCCGCTAATCAAGAAATCGGGTCGGTTTTGATAAATAAAAGAAAAAAGGGTCGATTTTAATAATAAAAAATTTTAAAAGGGCTAAAGTGAAAAATTGTTCCTCAGAAAACTGTTATGGGTTATCATGAATAACGCTTATACCTTGATAACCAGTTCAAAATACCCAACATCTGAATCCAAAGTTGTAGGAGTATAAGGTTTGACAACTTCTTCACCTACACTATCCTTTCCCCTGCAAAAACCCAGCCAATAAAACTTCAGACAAGATAACAAAATAAAATCAAAAAATAAAAATTTCAACACAAATAACAGCAGACCCAAACCTGCAACTAATGTGTTGCCCAATAGGCAAACCAAGCACAGAAGTCTGTGATGGGAGGGCAAATCTAAACTTAGCCACGTTATGGCTCAGCTGCCTTTTCTCAACCAACTTGAAATCCCTGAAGTTTTCTGGGTCCAAGCAACCTGGTCAAATCAAAAGAAGGGGGGAAACCCAGTTTTATTACAAATTGGATCGAGAATCAAGCTTTTAAACAAAACCCAGATCAGAAAAAGCTTACCCTTGGATTTCTTGCTGAGGAACAAGTAGGCGGCGCCGATGCCGACGGCGGCGACGGCGACGGCGATACCGATGAAATGGGCGTTGAACAAGTAGGCGGCGCCGATGCCGACGGCGGCGACGGCGACGGCGATACCGATGAAATGGGCGTTGTTGGATTGCAAGAAATCCATTGAAGAGGAACCCAAAAAATCCCCCAAAAATTAAGATAAGGGGTCTGAATCCGATATGGGTTTTGTTTATATATAAGATTTGTTCCCCTTGAGAGCCAAAGGGTAGGTGAAGGGTTAGGTGGACCAAGAAGAGGATCTGAGCTCCTGAGTCTGAACTGCTACCACAAAACCGTGGGCACTTTTTCCTTTGTTTGGTGGAGTACAAATTGGGAGCGTGGGCTTGAAGAGGGAGAGAGGAGAAAGAAAGAAGGAAATTAATTGGAGATTTGGCTTTCAAATGCGCACGCCCCAATACAAAATTAGGGAGCTCCTGGTCATGCGCAATTGCACGTGCAATTTAATAATTAAAGTGTTCACGAGCGGTGAAGAGTTGGGTCTGAGACGGTAAATTTTAGAAATTACAAGAAAGTCCCTTTATCCCTCTTTGCCTCCTCAGTCCTCATCCTCTCCCTCTTGTCCCTAGGACTAGCACTGAGCATGGCTCGGTCCAAACCGAAAAAACCGACCGAACCGACCCGAACCGATCCAAAAAAATCGGTTTTATGAGTAGGGCGGGTCGGGTCGGTTTGAAAACTTTTCAACCCGAACCGACCCGAACCGACCGAATATAGTGCAATACTACTCATTTTAATCTCAAACCCTACCCGACCCATCCCTAAAGAGTCAAACACTCAAACCCTAAACTCATTTTCTGAATCATTATAGGCTGAAAACAATATCATTATATCAGTGTTTAATGTTTCATAATCTCCTACTTTGTTGATATCTTTTTTTCTTTAACATAGTTTGTTGTTTGATAAGAAGTTTGATGAAGTTAGAACCGAACAAACCGAACCGAACCGCACCGTACCGACTTGCAACAGTTCGGTTCGGTTTTGAATTATAGGCGGTTTGGCTCGGTTGTTTAAATTTTGGTAAAAACCGAACCGAACCGACCGTTGCACACCCCTACTTGTCCCTCCTTTGCCAGTTCAACAAATTGTCCAAAATAAATTTTTTTTCCTTCGACCGCCTTGAGTCAGAGGAAGATATAGGAGGTGAGGGTGGGAGGTTGGTTTAAATGGAGGGAGATGAGATGAGGGGAGAGGGATAAGGGTATATATGGAATTTCACAAAAAAATATGAGCAGAATTCTCGAGAACATGGACATTGCAAACATGTCAGCAAGTTTAGTTCATTTTTATCAAAATGAAAAAAAAAATTATGACAATTATCAATTTGAGTGAATTTTTAAGATTTTTTCATGAAAACCCTGCTCTAGTATAACTACGTCAACGAGCTATAAGAAAACTCAATTTGACTTGTACCTGCAATATGTTGTTACAACTAGTTGGATTAGACCTATCAACGAGTGCATAAAACCCACAACGGAAATGTCAAAATAAAATCAAACATAAGAAGTGTAATACCTAATTCTTTTCTTTTCTCATCTCACGAAAAAAAACCTCCTCATGTTTTTCTCTGTAGCCGTGAACCCACCGTTGAAAAAAAAAGAGAAATATCTCAACCAACATCTCCGTCTCTTACTAGAAAATCTCTAACTACCTAATATTTTTGTTAACAACTCTATCTTCTTTAAGAGTTTATCTATCTACTTTGTTTTCTTCCTAAAAACACAGGGAAAAAAAGAACGGAGAAATTTTTGAGAGGATAATCGGGTGCTCAAGGAGAAGGAGCAGATAGGAATTTCAACTTCAGAGTTCGATTTTGGCAACCATTTATTATCCTTCAACCCTTTTATTTTTCATGATCTCACCTTATCTAATTACTGGGATTTCTTTCTCGAAAATCATGAGCAAGAGATTGTAGGCAAAATCTTTACTCTTTATGCAAGCATTTTACTTTTAGATAATGATATTTTTCTAACAAGGAAATAAATTATTTTTTCAATTTTTTTTCATAATTCGAATAATGTGATTATTATCCATTTTGGCCAAGTTTAGTATAATTATGTATTTTTGGGTTATTTTTTTCCAAACCCCTACTTCTAATTAATTTGTTTTGGTTAGTCTAGTAACCAGAAACTATCTGTTATATGTACTTCTACAGCAGTTGATTTCGCATGCATATGTTTTGTTTAGTCTAGTGGTCACATGACTTGGTTGCTAACCCTTTAGTCACGGATTTGAATTCCATGATCTTTTTTATGCCAATTAGGTAATTAGGTTTGTGGGTGTATAAGAAAATAATTTTTCTTTTAAATCTTAATTTTTTTGACAAGTAGTTTTTAGCCAATCAACCAATGAATTTCTTTTATTTTGACAACAAGTGAATTTTTTCTAACTACAACATATCTTTAATTTATGAGTAAATTTCTTTTTATTGTAATAATTTATTATTTTATTATTATTTTTATAATTTTGTTTCTAGTATTAGCATGTACAATAGAACATATCAGTTTTCTAAAATCATTCATATATTACTTATCCTTAATTTGTATTTTTTTTCTCTATAGAATCATAGTTAAACCGGAAATAGGTGGGAAAATATAATGCAGCAACAAGCTAACTAAAGAGACCCTTTGACCATAGTGGTTAAGAGGCATGACCTCTAGTATGGATGTCCGGGGTTCAAATCACATAAGCTTTCTTCTTTACCAAATATTTTATTTGGGTCTATTGTGAAGGCGAACCCGACCCAGTTTGGACCCATTATCAATACTAGATCCGTTTGGGTAAAAAACTCAAATTACAGACCCGTTTGACCCAATTAGGATCCAATATCAAATTAAAGACTCGTTTGACCTAGTTAGAATCCAATATTAGATTTCAAACCCGTTTGGGTTTATGATTCAAATTACAGACCTGTTTGACCCAGTTAGGATCCAATATTAGATTTCAGACTCGTTTGGGCCTTTTGCTCACTAAAATCAGTTTTGCATATTTCTATGCTGTCAAATTAAAACTGTTTGGCCTGCTTTGACACTAAACAATTATGATAATTATTTATTTTCTTTTTTGTTAAGATGAATGATGATATTGTTTGATCTCTTGATGCTTATTGGATCACATGATGCTATGTTTGATCACCTAGTGGCATTTAATAGGATTGATTGTGCATGAAGACGACTCCCGTCAAGAAATATGATTCATAAACGTGTTATCATAGCATGATTATACCCTCGATATCAATATCTCGATGTGAGAAGTTTCTCTTGATTATTACTATCATTATAATAGCATTGACTAGACGATGCACCCATCTTGATTGGACATGTTTTGGGTCACGCTTATTTTACATAAATTTTACGAAAGTCATTCCAAAGTAACTCTGTGGATAATGAACAATATTTCATGCACAATCACTTAAAATAAATAAATAAATATGGGGTTTATAAAGGAGAATTGGACAGAGAATATAACATGTATATAAGCGGGCTTATACACATTCTTGATATCCGGATTTATATATATAATAGCTAAGGGACAATCCTGACTTGAAGCCATGTTCCCAGGACGATTTACGGGAACCTGATTTCTATACATGAAAATATTCTTCTCTCATTCAAATAACACCTAAAATAATAATAATGTGCTTGTGTACCTTGTGGTAGATCTTGTTTGATATCTACGATTAGCATTTTCTTTTATCACCTTTAATTGAGTTTTCATCTTTCCTTTATACGTGCTACATACACTTGCACACGCACAATTCCTTCATTTTACATGCTTGTTGGGAGTTTTCTGACTCCCCTGATGTTTGCGCACCCCAGACTCAGGAACTGTTCTTTCTTCGCAGGATCGAAAATATTTTGAGGAGCAAGTCCAGCGGCAGTGGTTACATGTTAGTCCATTAGTTCTTCAGTTCAGTTGGTTTATGTAGTTATTTGGTTTAGACTCTTTCTTGAGTCATATGTGACTTTTTTTTCTAGACTATGATATAAATTTTTTTATTACCCTTTCCTTTTGTGGATAATTGTGAACTCGTAGTTGGACTCTGTTCTTTTGTAGATTTCTTCATATATATATTTCTTTTATTGTCTTAGTTATATGTTCTATGATGTAGTTTTGGCTTTATATCTATATACATGATGATCTAGTGGCATGAATGTGGCTGAATGATTGTATTGACGGCCGAGTCACGTTCCAAGTTATTACATTGTGGAACCGGGACATGACAAGAAGAGGTCAAGACTTTATGTGTTTCGGAATCTTCTGACCCACGTCCGGGGGCGAAGAGAAGAGATTCACAATCATGGAATCAAAATGTTGAGAAAGGAATATAGGGCTTAAAAGAATCACCACATTCTGATCAACATATTATTCTCTCGCTTAAGAATAATTGAGAGAAAATCATATTCCCTGACCACATTCGGATCAACATTATTCTCTCGCTAAAGAATAATAGAGAGAAAATCATACCCCACCCCTCTTTTACATTTTCTACCGCGTGAATGGCTTTCGTTTTTTTTTCCTGCGTTGACATATGCCTCTGTCTCCTTTATGCTGGCTACAGGATCCTTTGTTGATAACAAAACTTTATGAAGTCAACAAATTTCAATTCTATCTCTAGTTCTCTGTGTAAATTCATACTAATGTGAAGCTCACATCCAAATTTTAAACTGCCGACAAAATATAAAAAAAATCCTTCGTGTAGATATTATTTTTGCTAATTGCATGGGCTTGGGTCATGACATCGATTAATAACGCAACCAAGGCAACAATTAAGAATGCAACCAAGGCATCCCCTACCTTTAAAAAAATGTCCCTCCTTGAATTCCTCCGTGTAACTAAAAGTCTCCATGCAAAACTTAATTTGATTAGTGATAGAAAATTAGATTTATTTTTTTTATCAACAACTTTTTTTTTTCCTCCCTTTCGATCCCAACAATCCAAACTGCAGATATTTTCCCAAGGCATTAGTTTGATGGCAATAAAAAGTGTTATCATGTAGCTTCAGATGGCTCCACGTGACAAGATAATATATGGACAATGATCGAGGGTAGACCTGTCCATCCGGGCCGGCCCGGCCCGGCCTGGCCCGGAAATCCTTTTTTTTTCCTCCCTTTCGATCCCAACAATCCAAACTGCAGATATTTTCCCAAGGCATTAGTTTGATGGCAATAAAAAGTGTTATCATGTAGCTTCAGATGGCTCCACGTGACAAGATAATATATGGACAATGATCGAGGGTAGACCTGTCCATCCGGGCCGGCCCGGCCCGGCCTGGCCCGGAAATCCGGGCCCGGGCCGGGCAAAACCGGGACCCGGACCCGGACCCGGGTACACCGGGCCGGGTCCGGGCCCGGCCCGGGCTGGCCCGGGTGATTTTCTTTTTTTTTATTTTTTT